AAAATTATTTTCGAACTAAAATTTCCTTAAATATTTTTCGCCTGACATTGTTATAAATATTTCAAGTAACTGATTAATTAAGATGAATTTTCAAACACGTGGCAGCCCTCCTAAATATAGTTCTTAAATAAAGGATTTTAAACCCATTTCCATTGATTACCATCGGTTAGTAATTCATTTATCTTATTAAATAATTTTAGTTTAGCCCTTTAAGCTGGGCAACCCTCAAGCACATCAAAAACGTTCTAAATTGTCAAACTAAGTATTTCTTGAAGCTCTTTCATTTGACACCCATCGTTAATATTTCATATAACTTGGGTATAAAATAGTCCAATTAGACTTCTCAAATAGGTGGCAAACCTATTCAAAATTTTTCCAAACTACTACCTTCTTAAACCTCTTTTGTATGACACCCATATAGCGACACCTTATTTACTTACCAAATTCCTTTAATAAAAATTTAATTACATTTTTTAACATGTGGCAACCCTCCTATACGTAGTTAAGTTATAAAGCCTTTTCAAAACTATTTCGATTGATACCCATATTTAATAATTGATTTAACTTTTTAATTAATTTGAGCTTAATTTCTTAACAAGTGGCAACTTTTTTCGAAAAAGTAAATCCTTCTTGAATATCATCACCCTAAGCCCTTTAATATGGTACCTCACTTTTGTAAATCGAACGGACGGTGCTGATCTTTTATGCTGCACAAAAAATGCCTTCGCGTATTATATATATAGATTAGTAAATAACTTGAGTTTAATTGTTTAACAGGTGGCAACTCCTTTCGAAAAAATATAACCAGTTTGCATATCTCCAGGTCAAGCGCTTTAGTTTGGCACCCCATTTTTGAAAATCGAGCGAACAGTGCCGATCTTTTATGCTGCACAAAAAATGCCTTCGCGTATTATATATATAGCACGATTGAGAGAATACAAAGGTTGCGCCGATCTCGGACCGCTATTCCTCTCTTAACGAATTTGACAGAATCGCTGTTTGCATGACGTCACACTGGTGCAACTTGTTTACGTTTTCCTTGCAACATTTTTTCTTCTTCTTCCATTCTTGCTCACGTTTTGGCATTTCTCTCTCGCAATTGCACCAGTGTGACGTCACACACAAGTTATTCTCAAAAATCCTCTCCGATCTATCATTCTTGTATATATAGATTATATATATAGATACCTATTTTAATTACCCCATTGCCTTAATTCAAATTGACTTTGATTGTTTAAACAGGTGGCAATCCTCCTACACGCAGTTAAGAAATAAAGTATTTTCAAAACTACTGCGTTCCTTATCTCCCAGAAATAGTCAGAAAAAGTCCGAAGTAGTCAGATTTAGTCCAAAAAGCGTTCCTTAACTCGGAAATGACAGCTAAAATGAGAGAGCAAGACCCAGTGAGAGTGACTCTCATCAGTCCGAAGTAGTCAGAAGAATTTTTTCTGGCAAAATCTTGAATAGTGTCAAAAACTCAACTGACAGCTGGCTGGAAGAAGAAATAAAAGAATTATCGAAAAGTGAAATCATCTAAAAACTATAAAAATTTAATTAAAAATGGAAGCAGGCAGAAAAATAATTGATATGGTAAGTGTTTATTGTGCTTGTGCTTGTGTGAATGTGTTTTTTACATACAATTTTATATATTTCCAGATTAGTGATGAAAGAATTTGTGGTGCTTCTGGTGGAGCTACAATCCATCCCTTGGGTGCAATATCGGATGGATCTGGAGAAGTAAATATGATAGCTTCTTACATTTTGTGGAATATAAGTTATAACAAATTGTTCTCAGGTTTATTTTGCGGATGTTTGTTATTCCGATGGTGCTGCGGCAAATTCGGCAGGAGATGCAGCTAACATGGCTGGACACACGGACGTGGTGAGCATAGTTTCAGCAAGGGCTAATATATAGAACAAAATGAGTTGTGATGACCCTTGTAAACGAATGTGTAGTTAGATATAAAGTGAAAATGAGTTGTTCTTAACATCGCAAACGAATGCATAGTTCAACTAAAATTTAACTTTGGTGCGGTGGTATGGTGTAGATTTTTACCCATTGATTTCGGGTCATTGTGTAAAAAAGCGTGACCCGATTAAAAAAAACTTCAACATACCCGTGTAGCCGGAGTACTAAAGTTTAATTTAAAACTAAACTCTCGAATTAACGAGCACTAATTTTATGAATAAATTCGGTTTGAATTATTTACGAGTGCGGTTTAGTTATTTGTACAACGATTTTGGGTTGCTGAGCCCAAACGCGTGACCCAAATCAAAAAACTTTTACTCACACTTGTAGACAAGAGTGTAAGCTTTATTAAACAAAAAATTTACTATATCTGTGTTTATTAATAATTTCGGTTTGAAATATGATATTTTTAGGAGTTAAAAGTGGAATTTTCAATATTTTCATAAGCTCATATTTCAAACACTTGAACCGATTTTAAAAATGTGGATATGATTGGAAAGATAATTCGAAGACCATTCATATGATATAATATAAATGCATTTATAGGAAAATTAAAAAATCGCAAAGTCTTCGGTGGTTTTATACCACTGTTGGTAGTTGTACTTAAACCTAACTATATAAAATTATATATCAAATTATCTTTTAATATAGTTAATTACGTGTTTTTTTAGAAACGATACGTTTTGTTAAAACAATGGCCATAATTTCGTTTTTTTAGTTTTACTCGTAATATGTATATAAATGTAAATATATGAAAGGTTTTTAATGACCTCAACGAGCTTTATTCTTTACGTATGCCTCATTTATAAATGAGTCTGCAGAGGTCTGTAAATTGCACCTTGGTCTTTGTAATGCTTCTGACATATTTTCTAGGTAAATGGCGCAAGTGCTTGTTCATCTGAAGATGACGGCGGAGTCTTGCGCGGTATAGTGACAGAACTGATGGAAACATCAAGCGATTCAAGTGAGTCTGATGATGACGAGATTTACCAAATCGTTATGGATAATTCTGATAGCGACGGCGAGGATTTATTAGAGGAACTATTGAGGGATAGAGAGAGAAAGAAGAGGAATAGCATTAAAAACTATTTGGAGGAAGTGGTACCTACCTATACTGAGGCAGAGTTTAAGATGCACTTCTGTATATCGAAGGAACTGTTTCTCAATTTGTCAGCTAAATTTGAGGAAAGCGATATATATAAGAGGCTTCGAGTCGATAAGCGTTTACCAGGGAAGACAAACATGGCAGTTTTCTTATGGTTTGCCGGTCATGAGGCATGCAGCTTTCGTGACTTATCCGACCGCTTCAATATATCACTGTCGACTGTTTCTCGTATGGTCAATAGAACGACAATTTTCATTAGCAGTTTGAGTCCAGAGGTTATACGATGGCCTACTGAGGAGAAGAAGCGAGATTCGGCACTTTTTTTTACCAGAAAATGCGGCTTTGCAAAAGCAATCGGTAAGTGGTAAAAACTATAATTGTGCCCTTAATTTTCAAAGTGGTCTAGGTCACTTCACATCTTATGCTTATAAATATATGCTTAAATATATAAACATATTCTAAAATATAGGATGCATTGATGGCACGCATATCGTCATTGATCCTCCAGCTGAGCGGAAAGATGACTACATTGACCGGAAAGGCAACATTACCCTTACTATGCAGGCCATTTGCGATGAAAATAAAAAGTTTATCAACATATTCGTTGGATTTCCCGGATCAAGTCACGATAGTTGGGTTTTTCAGAACTCGCCTATTTACCAAAAATTGTCATCGTATTGTGGAGGTAATAATTTGTTAAAGTAATTTAATTTTTTAGTGGCATATACATATATAACGTAATATACCCTATTGTTTTTAATCTTACAGATTACTACTTACTAGGAGACTCTGCTTACCCGTGCACTCAGTACGTAATCACGCCATATAAGGATAATGGTCGCTTGACGGCCGCGCAGAAAAACTT